CAATGATAGCATCTTGCAAAATTATGCTGCCATATCAAATCCGATATGCTAGCATTGCTATCATGAGATACAGAACATTTCTATCCATAGACGTATTTCCCATGTGGCACACTCAATTCCTTCCTACCCTCACTTCCTCTTTAGCCCCTGGAAATAAAATTCTGTTCTTCTATAATTTCATCATTTCAAGAATGTTACATAAATGAGATTATGAAGTACTTAACCTTTGGGATTGACCTTTATTCACTTAGCATAATTCTCTAAAGATTTATACAGGTTATTGTGCATATCAATAGCTTATTATCCTTTACTGTTGAGTAGTATTCCACTACACTGATGTACAATATTTTGCTTAAACATTCATCCATTGAAGAACAACTGAGTTGTTTTCAGTTTTTGGCTATTAAAAATAAAATTACTATAAGCATTTGTGTACAGATTTTTAAATAAACATGTTTTCATTTCTCTGGAATGAATGCCCAAGAGTACAATTACTGGATTCAATGGTAGTTGCAAGTTTAGTTTTTTAAGAAACTGTCAAACAAATTTTTCCCAAGTGACTGTACTATTTTACTTTCACACTGGCACTGTATAAGCGATTCAGTTTCTGTACATCTTCAGCAGCATTTGATGCTGTCACTTTTGTAATGATGTTTATCATCGTTTTCTGCCTGGCTTCTCAAACATAGTCTGTCTTCAGGTTGCTTCTTAACTCAATTACTCTCTTTGATATACCTCTGGAAAAAACCTTCAACCCCAGTAGATCACAGCTGTTACTCAGAGCACAGGGGCACAGAACTCTCTCCCCAATCCCATCAGTATCTCGATGAAGGCATAGAGAGTCATCCTCTCAAATATGCAGAACACACCCAACAAGGAGAGATAGTATTGCATGGCTTTATAAAATGATTCATGGCAGAGAACAATGGAGCCAAGAAAACAAGACAAAACTTAACAGAAGCCAACCCATCCATTCCACAAACACAGAACCAACACTATCTTCAGGCTATGTGCAATGTACTGAGAATACAGACATTTAAGTTGAGTCACTGTCCGTTTAACTTCATAGTCTAAAAAAGAGACTGAAATAACATGAAAACAGATTTCTCTAAATCTGTGTTATGAATATTTCTAATGACTTAAATAGTGTCTAATTTTTTTTTTCAATCAGCATTGAAAAATTATTGAAGAGTTTGAAGTTGGGAAATAATTCTTGTGTTTCAGGAAGCCACCTTTCATGTGTGTGGCTGATGTATTGGAAGGGGATCTTGGGAAATACAGAGGTAAATACAGAGGCAATTTCAATGAAAGACTGACACAATAGTTCAACAAGTAGTGACAAGGTTTTAAAAAGAGGAGTAGTGGTGGTAATCCAGAAAAATATTTGCAATAGATGTGAACAGGGTTGATATTAAGCAGGGCTTGCTTACCAATTAGAAGGTAAGGCTGAGGAGGGAGAGCACTTAGGGTGATTTCCAAGTTTCTGTCTCAGGCAACCTTGAAAATGCGTTGTGTTATAAACTGGGATAGGAAATCAGAATGTGGAAGTACGTTTCCAAAGAGAGATAATGAACTCAGGTGGAAATTTACTGAGCTGAACCTACAAAAGGGCATTTCTTATTGATGACTAACTCTCTTCTCCTTAAAAAGACATACAGACTCTGCCACAGATTTTGGAGTCCCTAACACAGAGATTATATTGGCACCTGTGATAGTGCATGAGATCCCTAATAAAGGTCTTATGTAAAGAGTGAAGAGAGAAGAGGAATTGGGTTTAGAATTTTTGGAGGTGTTAGCATTCTAGAGTAGCCAGAATAATAAGGCCCATTTAAAGAGACTGAAAAATAATAGTCAAATAGAAGCAAACTAGAGGGAGACAAGAGCACATGATTCAATGGAAGAGAACATTTCAAATAGAATGGAATGGAGACCTCTGAAGTGATGTTGCTTTTAAGTGGTCATGTAATGTGGTAAACCACATCTTATTAATCCATATTGGGTGCCTTCCCTTCCTAGGGGCAAACTATACATGCGCTTTCTAAAGGAGTCAGGCACGGTCTCATGACTTGCTTGGCCACCAAAATAGGAGTGGAAGTGATATATATCACTTTAAAGAAGAAACTTTAAAGAATTAACCTATGATTCACCCAGCTCGCTCTCTCTGTGGCCATGACAATCTGAAATGCTCGAGACAAAGACTATTCCATCAGTTTTGGTTACAGAATCTAGACAACATGGGGCAGAGCTATAGCCAACCCAAGATAGCCATGTAGTGTGAGGGGTAAGTCCAATGCCATGCACGTAAAGCACTGAAACTTGGGGTTACTTATCCCTGCAGCTAGGCAACCTAATCTGTCATTACACATGTGAGTAAAATGAGGAAATAAGACAGGAAGTTTCACACAGTGCAACGATTTTAGCTGCCAAAGAATGAGATAAAGCAATGAGAATAAATCAAGATAAATCTTCATGAAAATGACATTTAGCATTTTCTTAGTCTGGCATCAAACTACTAAGTGTCTAGAACTGAAGAAATGTGACACAGAGAATTGATGGGGTAGATGTTAGAAGAGCTGAAAAGTCAGTGGGAGGGAGGGGGAGGAGGTGTAACTGAAGTCCAGAGGCAGAGTCACCCGGCAAAAGCTGGAGCCAAATGCAGAGCCATTGAGGAGGACCTGGCGCCTTAGACATGGAACAGCCACTTCCAGAGACTTCTCCTAAGTATAGGGGCAGAGGAAGCCATATAATAGTTTTTCCCTTTTCTTACCTCTTATCTGCTTGGGCCTCCCAGGGCAGAACCCAGCCCAGTATCAGCTGTCCTGGAACCTAAGAAACACCACCTGCAGTGACCAGCATTGCAGGTCCTCTCCTCCCTCAGCAGAGCAGAGCAGGGGAAGGGCGGGGAACAGGTCTGTGGGCAAACAGTCCCAGGACTGACACAGGCCTGAATCTGTAGGCAGATGGCAGCCAGCATCAAGGTGGGCAGAAACTCAAGTTTTCATTAGGATGTAAGACTATCAACAGGAAAGGGATTTAGTTATGTTTAGTATGGCTGGAGTAGAACATGTGAAGAAGAAATATAGGTGAGAGTAGACATGCAAACAAAACTAGATTATGAAGGACTTTCATGCTATGCTCGGGAGCTTGAAATCTATTCTATAAGTGACTGTGATATAACCAGAATTATGCCTTGGAAAGATAATTCTGTCAGTATTGTAGAGGATAGAGTGGGGTAAAGAAAAGAGAGCTCATGACCCATTTGCCTAAGGATGGCATAGTGAAGACCTCACTTAGTTAAACCTATAGAGTGGCCCATAATATAATGAGGACTAAACTCTGACTTTTTTCCTTATCCACTTTCCTAACTAAGAAGTTTGGGGAGACACAGCTGATAGACTCACCTGATGATGTTTTATTATCCTATTACCATAGGTACTAAAGTTTGTTTTCCAACTTGACTCTGGCATAACATCACATAACAGATAAAAAAGGAAATCAAAATATTTTATGACCCTGCAAAGTCATCTTTTGGGGACTCCTTGACTTCAGACACCTTGTTGTCTATTGATTTCCAAAATTCCTTGGATAGTTGAACCCCCAGACTCTGGGCACCTTATCCTCTACTGATTTTCCAAACTCCATGGATTGGAACTGCAAATTACCAGTCAAAAAATTCTTAAATTCACCAATAACCTGCAATTCCCCCACTTAGATATGCCCCTCTTTCTTGGGCCACACCAATGAATAAATCAGCATATTGACTTATGAGTTCTGTAACTTCTGCCTTCCCCAAAATGTATATAACAAAACTACAATTCCCCACCTGGGACCTCCTAGGGATGGTGTGTCTGGGTGTGGTCACTCATATTAGCCAGAATAAACCATCTTAAAATATTTTACAGGGTATGGCATCTTTTAATCAACAATAACTACAAACGTAATAAAAACAAGCTCTCTAGGACACAGATCCCAAACAAATGAAGCTAATAAGTCATTTGCCTTATTGGGTGATACTTTAAAAATTCTTTTTCATTTTTTAAATTTAAAAATTTACATAGAATTGTGAAAATACAAAAGTAAGGGGTCTGGAAATGCTTTAGGATAAAGTACAGTTGAAAAAATGGAGATGTTTAACTTAGAGGTAATAACTTAGAGGGTTCCTTAAATAGGAGCAACAAATTACTAGTCAATAAATCCTTAAATCCACCAATAACCTGCAAGCCCTCACCTAGAAATGTCCCTCTTTCTTGGGTCAAACTAGTGAATAAACCACCATTTTTCTTTATCCAAATTCCTAACTAAGAGCCTTGAGGAGTCATGGCTGATAAGGACTCACCTGATAGGATGAGAAGCAGAGGAGACCACATAATGATTCTCCCTTTTTCCTACCTCCTATCTACCTGGGCCTCCCAAAGCTGAACCCAGCCCAATGTCAGCTGACCTGGAACCTAAGAAACACCACCTGCAGTGAGCAGCAGGTGGAGAGCGGAAGGACTGATTATGTCATACTTAAAATGCCAAATTATCATTATAAAAACAGATTTTTTGATCCAAGGAAATAAAAACAGGCTTTATGCGATTGGCAGTAGTGGAAAACTATCAGGGGAAGCGGGCTGGGACTGGCAGTTGAGGGAAACTGCTGGGGGGGGAGGGAGGGGCATACCTCATCAACAAGGATACCTACATGATCAATGTTTGTATACCTAACCCTGAGTTGTACCCCACATCTCTATAAAAAATAAATAAATTAAAAATAAACAAACAAAAAACAGGCTTTATGATCCAAGGAAAAAATTATCTAGTGAGACCCTTCTGAATAGAACCCTCAGAAATAAAAATATAACAAACTAAAAATCTATTCATTGCTTTATTCATCCTTGTTATGGGTCACTGTATTTTAGGACATTTTGCCTAGAATTGGACAGAACGGGTTTCAGCCAAGGAGGACACGCTCCTCCTCCTCCTTTCTCTTCTGCCTTGGCTCTCTCTTCGCCCTGATGTCACACCAAGTGTGATAGGGCCTCCTGAAAGGTAGAAGGATAGCAGCAAACATCAGAGCAGCCTACAAGTAATTAGCATGTTTCTAAAAACATTCCCTTTAACTGTTCTGTTTCCACCAGGTTACTGATGGGGAAACAAAGAGTGGTTCAGTCCCATTCCAAACCAAAAAGGTGACAAATGGGAAAGTTACAACCAGAATACACGTCTCTGTTATTCAAATATTTTCTCTGGAAACTGCACTTTCCTTGAGATTCCAGGACATGCAAACGTCCCATGAAAATAATCCGTGACGAGGAGATATATGTTTATGAGTAAGAACAAGAGGGTCGGGCATCCAGGGTGGATTGCCTGCCCGGCACCCCCTCCTTGCAGATTGTCCCAAGTATAGTCACCAGCAGCTTCTTCACACATTTGGAAGCCGCAGGCCCCAACTCATTCACACACTTCCTCAGCCCTTCCACGAGGTGCTCCACAGAAATGCCCAGCATTTTCAGAAGCATTTTTAACGGATCCAGGAAGGAAAGAGGACTGTCCAGAGGCAGAGGAAGCACCTTGTCGACAGGAAGGGGCACGTTGTTGTTAAGGATGGCTGTGGTTGTAGAGAAAAGAGACCCGAGTGACACAGGACATCTGGCCCAGCCATGACTTTAGTACCCTACATGCCATCTATCAGCAGGTCCAGGCCATACTCATTATCTTTTTTTTTTGAGTTGGAATCTCACTCTGTCACCTAGATTGGAGTGCAGTGGCATGCTCCTGGCCACTGCAGCCTCGACCTGCTGGGCTCCAGCAATCCTTCCACCTCAGCCTTCCAAGTAGCTGGAATTACAGGTGTGCGCTATCACGCCCAGCTATTTTTAAAAATTTATTGTAGAGATGAGGTCTTGCCAAGTTGCCTGAGCGGGTCTCGAACCCTCGGGCTCAGGCAATTCACTCACCTTGGCTTCTCAAAGCGCGGGATTACAGGGTGAGCCACCAAACCCGGCCCATACTCATTCATTCATCTTAATGTCCATTGAAAACTCCCATCTCCCTGGCGCTTTCTTTCCTCAGCTAGCTACATGTCTTTCTTTCTTACATTATTTGGTCTCTTCTCTCTTCAAATGTTATCTCCTCAGAGAAGCTTGAAATGGCCCCTGTGTCTAAGCACCACCTGTCACTCTCTGTCCTGATTTATTTTTTTCTTGCCATTGCCTAAACCAGTGCATCTTTATTAGCCATTTTGGTTGCCCTCATTTCTCATTAGAATGTAGGTTCCTTGGGAATAAGGACTGTACTTATGCCTACTGTATCCAATGCCTAGAACTGAGCCTGACATGGAGTAAGCACTGTATAGATCCTCGTGGTTGACTGACTAGGTGTGTACTTTGAATGTGGAGAGCTACACGTCCCACAGCTTTGAGAACAAAGGAGAGATGCCATGATTAATCTCCATGCAGAGACAGAGACAGATCCAACCACAGGAAACTGCTCAGGAAACTGCTCCCAACCAGTTCAGCTCAACACAGCAAACATCGGTGGGCATTGCCTTTGTGCCTGTTGGTGCAGATACACAGACAGGTAAGACTGGGATGCTCTTCAGATACCTCACACCTCTGGTAGACAATGAAGTGTGGTGTGCTAATATCATAGAAAAAGCTCTGTGGAAACACAGAGGACAGGATGACAGCCTACATGAGTGTGTGTTGCAGGAATCTCCCTAGAGCGTTTAGAACCTTGTCTTGAGACAACACGTCAGGATCATAAGGTAAAGGCATTGAGCTGTTAGGATGAAAGGGCGAACACAGAATGGGGTGCCTTCTGCCCAGGGAGGTTGTGATGCAGATTTCCAGGGGGCTGTGGCCAGGGGGTGGAAAAGAAAGGGGGTGAGGCTGAAAAAAATCCAGTGAGGACAGATTTCTGAAGGCTTGGATGCTGTGCCAACGGGTTTGAGATTTTTTTTTTCCTAAGGACATTAGAGAGTTTCCAATTTGTAAGGGACAATTACGTTTTATATCTTTGGCTTTAGGAAGATAACTTTCACATAGAAGATGAATGGAAGGAAAAGAGTAGGGACTGGAAAAATTCGTATAATGCGTATTTTAATCCAAATGTGTACAGATACATAAATTCACACATGCGTGGAGCACACACATGATGACATACATCCTTCTACTGGCTGAGACCTGCCATCGCTCATTTTCTTTGGAAACCTTTGTATTTCCCTCTTCAAATTATAAAAATGGAGTCTGTGCACCTTTTCCCCTTCATCTTCTACTACCTGTTTTTCTTCCAAAATTCGCCCCCAGAGTGGGGATATTTATTTCTTTCTAACCCCCTTTCGGCTGCCCCCTTTGCCTGTAGGTACTTGTCCCTGGAGTAACACAGAGTAACAAATTATCCAAAACTGGTCAAGTTACAGATTCCTCCAAAAATTCAGCAAGACTGGCAAGCCAAAGTTGTCAGTGCAGGTGTGGGCAGTTTTTGTGTGTGTGTGATTAGTCTCCATGCTTCTTATTTTAGACAAGTTGGTGAACATCCCTCCTCTGTGAGCTTTTATATCTTCCTGGGGAGGGTCCTCAAAGCCTTTTGTTCTCTCAGTGAGCAGTGGCCATCATGACAGTCACAGTGGTTCCTTTCAAAAAGGATGAATCAGTCCCTGTTCTCCTCCCAGAAGCCAGCTTCCCTACCCCTACCTGGAAATTAAACCCTGTGCCCCCAGCACACCCATAGAGCTCTCTGTATAACTCATAACATCTTCAGTAGACAGCATTGCAGCAACTTCTTCACAAGTCTTATCTCAAGAACAGTATTCATGCCTGATTCATTTCTGAGTCTTCTGATGCTTGTCTAGTGCCCAAAAACTTGTAGCCACTCAGTAAATGGATAACTGGCTATCAATAAATGGGTGAGACTACACAAACAAGCTGTAGCCACCCATTCCACCCACTCTGATAAATGTAGCCATCTCAAGAGAACCAATCTAACAACTTTGCTAAATAGAGATTATAGCTAGAATGACTCCATATGTTTTCACAAGCACGAAAGAAATACACTACAAAGTCAGACTCTGACATAAGACTAAGGAAAATAAGAACAATAAATGGCCACCAATGTCTAGCAGTGAATGGACTTTGTTAGCCCTCCGTAGGAGTTGGCTAACTTCCTGTGTAGGATACATGAGCAGTAGGGAGCACTTGTATTGGATTAGGGCTTGGATGAGGTGGTGGTGACTGAAATACTTTCCATCATTACCATTTCCTGTGATTCTAAAACTTTTCCCAACCCTATAAATATGTCAAATTATTATGTGTCAATTAAAAATGACAAAAATAATATAAAAAATAAAATTCCTACCACCATATTCCACTGTCCATGAGTCTAGGCTCATTAGTTGTGTCCTCATTTAAAAAGAGAGAGAGAGAGAGAGAAATAGCATATGTACCAGGCTACTTACCAGAGTAACTACAAATGCTGTTGGTCACCAGCAGGAAGACTATCACCAGCTTCATGGTAGGTGTCTGATCTTTTCCAGAAGTTTAAAATTCAACCAGAAAATCCACCAAGCCAGTGGCTTCACTTGCCACACAGGGGGGCGACAGCTACTTTTGCACACACACATGTATTTATACACCCACATGTATTTATACACCCACTGAAGACCTGTACTCCAGCCACAGTCACTTGACTCACTCCACCAAAGAATGGCATAAAGATCATGTTTTCTCACTAAACAGTTTGGAGGGTTTTCCGCTTTCCCTCAAGTTCCCATGAGAAACCAAGCCCTAAATTACAGTCCTCTAGCAGAATTCTCAAGTCCCTCTCAAATAAGCCCTTGCCCTGGGATGAAAGTGGAGGGCAGAGCCTTCAGAATCTTCCTCCTGGAGGGGCGTTGAAAAGTGAAGGTTTTATGTTGGGATTAACAGAGGTGCTGTCCTCTAGTTTTCTATGTTTACTTCCAGTCTCCTATCCATTTAAGTGTTGGAGAAGTACATTACCTGACTAGCTACCTGGTTGTGAAGGCTGTCAGGAGATCACCTCAGTCCTAGTGTAAACAGAGTCAGCTCAGTGACATGCAGTGCCACATTCCTCTGGAATGCAGCTGCCCCCATCCCACTCACATGTCCACTATGGTAAGACTTTTAGATCTGTCACCTTTTCTAGCGTCTTTAAGTTATTTTAAGAATCCTCAGGGCATGTTTTTGTGCCTTCAAATAGATTCATCAGCTCAGGGGCTAAAATCAAAATGCCTAACATTCTTACTGTTTGTCTAATCTTGGATCAGAAATTCTTAATCTAGAATGTTGGTCTTCTCCTTATCTAAAATGGGGACATAAATTGTGTGACTGACCATAAGGTGTACAGCCCTGGGGAAAAAAATGTTTTTGGAAGACCACGTCTATACAAACAGTTTGAGTCCCCCACAACAAGCATTTTAGAACCACTGTGGCAGTCAAATTCCGTGTAATCATGCAAAATAATCATGATAATGTGCTGGCCACAGAAATGATCTGCTTCTTCTCCTGTCCTCCCAGAACCAGCTTCCAGCCACGGGACCCAGGATGACTCCACTTGTAAGTTCAGTCCCTGGAGTCCTTTGGGGCCTCTGGTGGGCCTGGCCTGCCAGGAAGCATGCTAGAAAAAGCTTGGATGGGAGAAACAGGTATAGGAATCCCAGTGGGTTCCAGACCAGACTGAAATCCCTGGCCAAATGACGTTGCTGGTGTCAGCCGTCCCTGCCACCAAAGGGGAGACCAGAAAACTGAGGAGATACACTGTAAGGGGTGGGGCTTCAGTTGCCCACATCTGAGGGTGTGCTTTTGTTATGAGGATTTAATTAAAATGTGCAGGCAATCTGAATTGTACATCTTTAAAATAAAAAAATTTAATGTGCAGACAGAGCATGCTCATATGCCATACCAAGATAAATGTCACCTCGGCAGCAGACAGCAGACACTCTCACTGTTGTCCTGCCTGTTGTACTCTTCACAACATATCTTTCCTTTAGCAAATCTACTTTCTTAATTAAAAAAAAAAATGTTACCTGTTATTAATTTCTGTATCTTACTAAGTGATAACTGCCGTTTCTTTATCTTTCTGCTACTTTGTAAACTGCATGAAAGAGATCATGACTTTCTGCCACATATAGTCCTGCCAATTCTACTGTTTTCTTTCTTTTTTTCTTTGAATTGGAGTCTCACTCTGTTGCCCAGGCTGGAGTGCAGTGGCACACTCATGGCCACACCAGCTTTGACCAGCTGGGCTCAGGTCATCAGTCCACCTCAGCCTTCCAAGCAACTGGAACTATAGGTGCACGCTACCACGCCCAGCTAATTTTTTATTTATTGTAGAGACAAGGTCTTGCCAAGTTGCCTGGGCTGGTCTCGAACCCGCGGGCTCAGGCAATCCACTAGCCTCGGCCTCCCAAAGTACTGGGATGACAGGTTGAGCCACTGAGCCCGGCCTACTGTTTTCTCTGACAGATACTGCCTCTGTTCCTCCTATATACATCCACCTATGCTAGTGACACTGACTGACATGCCAAGCCCTTCCAAAGGGCCAAGGCTGTGTGCAAGGGTATTGGTAAGGTTGATGCTACCCTTTAGTTTTGTCATGATCTCCTTGGGAACACTAAGCCTGCACTGCCCTTCTCTGGGCTTGTGGTTTGTTTGCTGGCTTTTATCTCCTTCCTTGAACTTCTATCCCTGCTTCTGAACTATAGGAAGCTGGTCTCCAGGCTTCCTTGCCAGCTGCATCTGGTTAAGCTCAGTCAAAGGAAGTCCCCGGTCAAAGATGGGAAGGAGGGAGAGAGGTAGAAGGCAGGATATTTCTCCCTCTCTCTGCTTCAGGAGATGCCTGGAGTAATGATGGTCGCTTCACCAAGGTTCCACCTTCTTCCAGAAAAGTCCTTCATCTGGGGGTCCAGCCATACCGGGCAGACCCACCCTTGTTTCAACTTCAAGTGCACAGCCCCAGTTTCTGCTGCATGCCACTTCACCTAGAAGCAGCAGCAACTTCCTGCAGTTTCCAGTCTCAGGATTGACTCATCACCTGCATTTTTAATCCCTTTTAAGTGGTCTTCCATGCTAAATTATTCCTATTTGATCACTTGGTATGGTTTTGACTTTTTAGGTAGACTCTCATTGCTACAGCAAGCTAAAATATTATAGAGCTTTCAGTAAACACAGATTTTTCCATCTATAAAAACAGACTTCTGTCACATAAATGCCAAGTTGTAAATCTGTCAGGGACAGGGCCAAGACCTATTTAAGAGAAAGACAGTATTACACATGCAAAATGCTTCTCCATCTAGCCTCTAAAATTTTTGGTACTTCTCAGTTTTCTCTGCTGGTCTCAGAAGGTGAGTCCTCTCCCAGGGGCTCCTAAGACCCCTATGCAAATAAATTTCTGTAGGGTCCAGCTAGTCCTCAGCCAGCATGAAGTCTTGACTGGAACTTAGTGGTGGACTTGGGTGGCTTAGACTGAAGGCAGAACCTGCTCCACACGAAACACATCCATACCCCCAAATCCCACAAGAGTCCACATACTAACACCTACAGGAGCAGTGGTATGTGTGTGAGAAATATTGTGGGAAAACAGAGGCTGAGACACCTAGACTATCTTAAGGAATAGCAGTTTATTATCATCAGGGTGACTCAGTGGGCTAATGCTCCAAGACTGAGCACCCTGGAGAGAGAGGAGAGGGGTTGTATCTGCTAGTTTAGGTAAGGGAGGGAGTCGGGTTGTACGGCTATACATTTTTCTTTGGAATTTGCAAGGTTGTATTTAGCAAAACCAGATTTTCAAAGAACAAATGGTCTCCAGGGTATGCATAACAAGCAGGGGTTGTAAATCGATAACTTCACAAAGAGAGGATTTGGGTTAAGGTTGTGAATTGGTTACCATCTTGCATTTCCAGGAAAGCACCTTGTGGCTATTTAGTTTTCTGAAGTCTTATGTCTACCAGGTTTGGAGCCTGCAGGTCAATCTTTAAAAGGAATAATTTTAACTGTTTTTAGCCCCTCTCTGCTATACGAGTAGACTCTCATCACTCATAAACACAGAATGATCCAGCACTTTTGTGACACCCATTTGTTCAACACTGTGCCGGGCACTCTGTCAGCAATTAGGCCCAGAGCAGTAAACCAGACAGACAGGCATCGCACCTTCATGGAGCTGAAAAGACAGTAAGATGAACAGACAGTAAACAGGTAAACAAACCAAGGAAACAACTAGCAGTGAGTACTGTGAGGAAGCACACAGGTGGATGATGGGGAGCAGGAGGGTCAGATGCAAAAGGAGACTTGAGTTTGTTTGCATCCTTACTGGCTACATTCTGAGCCATCATTGTTTTAGTCATGTCTTTTTATTCTATATTTTTGTTGCTGTTGACATCTTGGCACCTTGCTGACCCTGAAAGGACTTCCCCTCTAAAGACTGACTAATTCCTGGAGAAGGCAAACACTTCATGAGAGTGTGCCTGTCACATGCACAACAGCCTGTCATAAGCCCACACCCCCACTGCAGTTGGGCTCATATCTGGGCCACATTCCCCTGCCCCTATCATACCAGCACCAGTCCTAGACACCTAGGGACAGCCTGAAATTATTCCAACCAGTCCATATGAAACCTGGTCACCTCATCGTGCTTGTCCTTTCCTAGGAAGCCACAATAAAGGCTCCTGCTTACATGTTCCCGCTCCCTCAACCTGTTGGGCTCCGGCGATCCTTTTGCCTCAGCCTTCCAAGTACTGGAATTACAGGTGCATGCTACCACGCCCTGCTAATTTTTTGATTTATTGTAGAGATGAGGTCTCCCCTGCCCAGGCGGGTCCGGAACCCACGGGCTCAGGCAATCCACTCACCTCAGCCTCCCAAAGGCACGGGATTACAGGCTGAGCCACCGAACCCGGCTAACACTACCTTTTCAATGGCAAGATAGTTTTAAAACTACCACCTAGCCTTTTCTTGTGCCTTTGTTATGGTACTGCTACTATCTTTCTTGGCAGCAAAATCACTTGTATGAACATCCTCTTTTCCAGGACCGTGTGTAAACATCTTGTGGAGTGTCTTGCTCATGTTTGGATCCTAACACAAGCCCAGCACAGCTGGTAATATTATTAGGACATGCCCATCAGTGCCAGGCATTGTGCTTGCCAGTGCTACCCACTGCATTTTCAGGACATCCTCATGGTAAGAACTTTTATCCAATCTTATAAATGAGAAATCTGAAGCTGGAAGCATTGAATTAATTGCCAGGCCACTTAGATAGTCAATAATGCAGCCAGAATTTGAGTTCTTTTTTCTGATTTGTATTTTGTTACCTTTAAACACGCTAAAAGGTGAAACAAGACAAATTAAATTTAATAGAGTTTAATCATGCAAAGAACGATTCACAAATGGCAGCCTCTTGAACCAGCGTAAACTAATAGACTCCAGTCCAACCACATGGCAGAAAATTATGGACAGAGAAGGAAAATGATGTACAGAAAACAGAAGGGAGAGACAGAAAC